TATGATTGATTAGAACTTTTATAGCTAAAACATAAAATAAACGTCTCGATTTATGCCAACTTGTCATTATATAATATAATAATAATGAAACATTTTAATCAAAATAACCAATTTCAAATAATAATCATTATAACTTTATTATATATTATAAATTAAAACCTGATTGCTTAACCAACATGAAATAACAATAAAATATCGTTACTACTTGTTTAGATTACTCAGTAAAAAAGGCTGCATCTTCTTAAGAAAACAAGATAACTAAAAAAATGTTATATAATTTTGAAGTATAATAAAAATAATAAATAAATATCTATAGCAATATACCCAACAAATAAAAACAAGCGATGTAAAACCAAGTAGTAAATAATGAAAATTTGACAAATGAAAGTAAGCGTTAAAATATGGAGTGTTTTATACAGTCAATGCATTAGAAGACAGACACAAGAAACCAAGTGGGATGAAAAAAAGGAAAGAATCGAGCGACAAGAACATAAGTTGGGTGAATTAATGTTAAATAATATCTGACACACCCTTAAATCTTAAATCTTAATTGCAAATCATCATCATTAGTTTACGTTACCTTTTACTTTTCCACATAACATTTAACATTTGTTTTATAACCAATCTCTCTTTGTTCCTTGCGTGGCGTGGGTGTGGGCCTGTGCATATTTCATCAGCATCAAGGAAAAAAAATAAAAACTTGCTTCACTTCCCGCCCTTCCCGCTTCTTCTTGAATCTCATTCTCATCTACTATCTTCTAGTCTTCTACTGTTACCACAAAAACAAAAAAGAATACAATAAAAAAAGAAAAACAACACCCTGCACTCTGCAGTCACTCAAAGACTCAAGAGGCTGGAGCCGACGACACTGGATTCAGGTTGAAGAGGAAGATGGGTGATGAGAAAGATCAAGACAAAGAAAGTGTTGTTGTTGTAATGGATACTCCGGAAAGAACCCAGATCGCTACTCCACTTTCTAAATTCGAGGTGAATTGGGTTTTCGTGTGCGCGATTGGGTTCTTCGCTTCTGTTACTGGGAAATTTTTGTGTTTATGGTTTGTTTTAGTGAATCCGATGCGGCGATTTCTAGTAGGGTTTGGTTTTGGATGTTTATGGGTTTCTCCGATTTCTTCAATTTTGCGTCTTTTTCATAGCATTGGTCTTAGATCAAGTTTGATTATTGATTTCTTGTTGTTCGGCGGCGTTTCGCCCTTTTGTGGTGAAGTCAATTCGATGAATTTGGTTTTTATTTCTTGTTTAATGTATGTTCTTTTATGGGGTAACCAATTACCCTTTCGATTTGATATACTCGTGGGTTAATTTCTGCCTCCTTTGCCCTAATTAATTCCGTAGGGTTTTATGGCAGATTGACCAACCCTTCTTCTTCTTCTTCTTCTTCTTCTTCTTCTTCTCCTTGAGAATTAGGGTTTGTTTGTAAATTTCAATCCGAATTTAAAGTAAGATATGATTTTGGTCTCAATTATTCTTTATGATGTATTTGGAAATTTTCCTCTCTAGATCTATGGAGATGTATGCAGTTTTCTACCAATTCTTTGCTCAATTTGTTATTTTTATTTTCTCTAGGTTTAAAAATCCCAGAATCGGTCAGTTCGGGTTTTACTAGGACATGTTTGGAACTGATAGATGTTAAATTACTTAGTTATACTTAATGTTACGCACCTGATTTTATCAATTACATCAATGATCTTGATCTGTTGTTCTTTTGGATGTCTAATTGAAGGGTTTTCTTGTCTTTCTGCAGGATTCCCCAGTCTTCAACTATATCAATAGTCTTTCACCTATCAAGCCCGTTAAATCTGTGCATTTCACACAGACATTTAGCGCTCTAAGTTTTGCATCCCTTCCATCTGTTTTCACTTCGCCTCATGTCAGTTCCCTCAAAGATTCTCGATTCCTAAGAAGGTAATGGGATTGAAGAATCAAGAATGTGGATATAAAGTAAATGCTACTTCCATTTGGTAGGGTATGGCATGATGGAATTGGAAAAGGAATGGAATTAGCCATTCCATATTCCATTGGAATGAATAAAATGCTACTTCATTATTCCATTCCATCAAACTAAACAAAACCCCACTAAACTTTTTTTTCTTTTCTTTTAACCACTTAAATTCTTGACTTTTCAGGCACCAGTTTTCCGATCCATCAAAACCGGAACTTACATCCGAAGATGCAAAGAAAACCGAAACCAATGAAGGGAATCCAAACGTCACTCAGAACCCATTACATCCGCAAACGGAATTCAATTCCAATTCCGTTTCCGAAACTTCTGTTATGCAATCAAACAGGCCCTCAAATCTTGAATCAAGAAAACTCAGCTATGAAGCAGTTAGCCCCGACACAATAAACACATCAAAAATGGATAATCCATCATCATCATCAATTGTCCCATTTGTCAATAACCATTCTGCAAATGATCGAATAAGAATAGAATCAGACATTGAAGGGATGGACTCGCTCCATAATAAAGTATCCGGATGTGATTGGGACAGTTTGATATCTGATGCTTCAGAGTTGCTTAATTTTGATTCACCCAGTGATACTGTCCCCTATAAGGGCTCCACTCAAACCACTTTGGACCAAAAACCCGATGATAAGAATGATAATCCTTCAGAAAAGCATGAAGGTGTTAGTACATCTTTAAACAATTTTGAGGTTGGTGAGCTGGCAGATGATATGGATAATGAGGTGAGAATTTTAAAGAAGGGTAAACGTTTGATTTAACTTAAAAAATGCATTTTAAATGTCTCTAATTTGCGTATATAAATTAACAGGTTGGATCAAATTTATATCGTGGCATGAGAAGGCGTTGTCTAGTTTTTGAGATGATGGGGTCTCGAAGAAAGCACTTAGAAGACATCTCAAATGTACCTGATTCCAGTGGACCTGTTCTTCCAAATGACAACTCTTTAATTCCAATGAGGACCGGAAACGGAAACGGAAACGGAAATGGGAATGGAAATGAATCCTCTAGATGTATTCTACCTGGAATCGGATTGCATCTAAATGCTCTTGCTTCAACTTTAGTGGATCAAAAAGTTGTTAAGCATGAAAGCTCGGGATCCGGTGGACAACTTATAATTGCACCGCCTTCTGCCGCCTACAATTCCATTCCTTCCGGTCAAGAATTGGTAACAACAATGGCTGATGCACCTGGTTTGGAGAATGATCAAAGCGGAGTAGTTTCGGTTACAGAAGATGTTTCTAAAGCACTTGGATTTGTAGTTAATGAAGAGTTAAGTCAGAGTAGTCCAAGAAAGAAGAGGCAAGTTATCACTTTCATATCTTTTTATTGATTGCCACATTGCATTTTTGTTTAACATTTTTTATTAAATTTACAGGCGTAGAATGGAACATGCAGGAGAAACAGAGGCTTGCAAGCGTTGTAACTGTAAGAAATCAAAGTGCTTGAAGCTGTAAGTTCTCTAAATCCCTTTTATTATTGGCAAGAAAACACTTGCACCATGTCATCAATTGCCCTTTGAACTTTTTTTATGAGATTCTGATATGAATTTATTTTCAGATACTGTGAATGCTTTGCTGCTGGGGTATACTGTGTGGAGCCATGTTCATGTCAAGAATGTTTCAACAAACCGATACATGAAGATACAGTGCTTCAAACTCGCAAGCAGATTGAATCCCGCAACCCTCTTGCATTTGCTCCCAAAGTTATTAAAACCTCTGATTCTATGCAAGAGGTTTGTTTGAATTGGATTCACACATTTATTTATTTATTATATATAGTATGTATCAATATGAATGATGGTTTGTGCAGGATGAATCTAGCAACACTCCAGCTTCAGCTCGACATAAACGAGGCTGCAATTGCAAAAAATCTGGTTGCTTGAAGAAATACTGTGAATGCTTTCAGGTTCTTTCCCTACTTTGCAAATTTTGTCAAAGTCAAAGTCAATATTCTAATTTAGGGTATGTGGTTCTTTTGTGAAGGGTGGTGTTGGATGCTCCATCAACTGCAGATGTGAAGGATGTAAGAATACATTTGGTCGGAAGGATGGTAAGTATTTATTTTTTTTCTCTATCAAACCGTTTTTTTTTTCTGCATTAAGTCAATTAATTGAGATGTTGTGGTTTATAGGTTCGGAAATGGATCCAGAAATGAATGTTGTTGATGAGTGTGAAGGGAATGGAACCGATGGAAGGTTCCAGAAGATGGCAATACACCATGAAGTCGAGCCAATTTCTGCTACTCCACCAACACCTTCACGTTTTGGCAGGTAATATAAATAATAACTAATTCCATTCCTTCATCCGATCATTCCATTCCACCCGAAAGATGTCTAATTACATATATATGATATAATATAAAAGCAGGCAATCTATTTCTATGATAAGCTCTTCAAAGGGGAAACCACCACGATCTTTTCTGGCCATTGGATCATCAGCATCATCTAGCCAAAGATTTGGAAAGCTGAATCCATTCAAAGTTGGAATCAAGACAGCAGCAGATAATAAGCAATTGCAGACAGTTGGAGAAGATAAGATACCTGAAATACTTGAAGAAAATGGTTCCCCAATCAGTGGTGTCAAATCTTGTTCACCAAACAGCAAAAGGGTGTCTCCACCACACTCAGGACTTGGACAAAGAAGCAGCAGGAAATTGATATTGCAATCCATTCCTTCATTTCCATGTCTCACTCCCAACTCTAAGCACTGATTGATTGATATGCTGCAAATCAATCAATCAACCACTTTCGATGCCTTTAGTTGTTACTGTGTAGTTTTTCTTTTCTTTTTTCTTTTTATATTTTTTTAATTTTTAATTTTGATGTCGTCGTTGTAAGGTTGCTTATTATTAAGGTTACTACAACTCTGCTTGTAAAATAATAATATGATGATGTTTTTAGCTTGTGTTTGCTTATCATAAAAACATAAACTATGGCCAATGATTTGACTGATTTGACTGATTATCATGATAATCTCTTTCTCATGGAACTAAACAAAATGAAAACAACTGAAAATGTCATATATCATCAGAAACATTAGTTGACACATGTACAAAACTAACAAACACAGTTAGTTCTAACTTCTAATGAAGAATGATATCTCAACGAACATACTTGAATCCTGTCATGTGGGAGCTAAGTGATTGCTACAAGAAAACATACACAATTGCTTCATGCATTGAGATGCTTTCATTATCATGAGTTTGAAGAACTCCATTGCTGATAAAAATGGTCTTGTGTTCTCAAAGATAAAGCTTCGTTTATACTCAAGGATCCATGTGTTTTGATCTAAACGCCATAATGATGTACTCCATTTTCCTTGTTCCCATGAAGTATTTGCTTTTCGAATCAAATGACCAGATTCCCCATTTGACCACTACAAATATTCATGGGATTAGATGGAAGAAATAGCAACATATTTCTATTTGTTTGTTTATTGTACTTTCAATTTTTTTCCTTATTCATCTTACTTTGAAAAATCTACCTATTTATAGCATTGTCAATTAAATACAGAACAGTTTTCACTCTTACTATCTTTTAATAAGAAAAAAAAACTGGAATTATATTGGTTTGATTTTTCAAAATACAAGTGTTAATAAGAAGAAATTGGAAGTAGAATGCTATAAATGGGTAGATTTTTCAAAGCACAAGTGTTTTAAAGAACAAACTCAAAAGTACAATACTAAAAGAGAGAAAAAAAAAACTAATGTATGATCCTTGAATACACAAATAAATGAGAGGAAAGTGTGAAAATGAAAAATTGAAAGTAGCTTACCTCTGTGACTGTTCCTGACAAGATAGTGAATGATCTTGAAGCAAATTCAGTTGTAAGCAATCCTGAGGTTTGCAAAGGCCATCCCCAAATGCTCACTTCTTCCATCCAGGATTTGTGGAGTTGACAACGAGATCTCAAGATCAAACCATCCTAAACACAGAAACAAATTTCATTAATCCCAAATGTTCCACTTTTACACACGAACACAAAGAAATATATACATACATATAACAGGGTACCTGAACTATTTCCCAATTGGGATATGTAGAGCTAGCTTCTGAGACACCATCTCCCATAAAGCTTCGTAGTTCATTATTCAAAAACCCTAAACGTTCTTTCACATCTTGAAGCCCAGATGATTTCTCACTTAGGTTTCTGACTATTTCTGGGGACAATTTGGTTTTCATGACTCTAGAAGTTAAAAATGAAAATCCTAGTTTCCCCATTACAATAAAGCAAAGAATCAGAACCCATTTCATCATCTTTAAGACATATACAAGTTTTGTCTTTTTACTGTCCATTTTCTGCCGGAAACTTTTCCTGATAGCTGGACTGAGGGGTGTAGATACCATGAGGCGAGAAGTCTCGGATATAGGAGTGGAGAGGGTTGAAGGATTGCTGAAAAGCGGGGTTTGAGGAGGAGATGGTTTTGAAGAGGAGAGCTTAGTGAGCGTGCTTCTATGGGCGCTCATCAAATCAAGGGTCGCATTGATGCTGGCGACACAGGTTTTGCACTTGCAGTTGGCATCTCTCCGGCAACGGGTTAAGTAGAAGCTGTCGTCTTCCATGGGGGAAGACGATTTCACGGAGGAATTGGGTGTTTGCACAGTGGTTCCCATTAGCATTTGATAAACATTAGTTTCTGAGATCTGGTTTAAATCTTGGATCAGAATGGAGAGAGACAAAGAAAATTGTTTGAATTTTGAATTTCAACGGCCATATATAAAATATGAGTTAATACTTACCAGCAATAAATATTAAAGTTACCAAAATACCCATGTGGTGTCCTGTACGATTTCATAAAATCTTGTCCTCCATAACTACGATGGTTTATCGTTATCATTCGTTATCATTCTTAGGGAAAATGACTTGTAAGGGTAATGATGTTTTACCCGTGTTCACATTATACCATTTATGTTTTTTTTTTAACAAAAAATACCATTAAAATGTGTTTCCTGTACATATTTTACCATTAGTAACCGGATACAATAGGTATCTCGGTATTTTTTTTTATTAAAAAAAAAATTATGTGGAAAATACGTGGCTCACCCCTCTCTCAATTAAACACCCTCACATTCAATTAAACACTCTCAAAGCACGATTAAACACCCTCATACCCAGATCATTGTGTAGGGTTTTCTCAGTCGAAGGTTTGTTTGAGATCGATCATGGCTGGTCCATCTAATGCAAAAGGATCAACTTACATTCAAGTAGATGTTCATTACGATGGAATGTTTTCCCCCATTCCTCATCTTATATACTACCTGAATAAAAAACGTCAATTACAGATGTCGATTTTGGTGGATTAAATTTCAAGGAGTTCATTTATGTTTTGAGGATGTCACAAAGGGGAAGTGTCCTGTTGTCTACTATTGTCTTGGGCATAAGTCAATGCGTGATGGGTTGACACCACTGAAAAATGATGATGACTACAAGAGGTTTCTTGATGCTGCACATGGTAACGAGGGAAAGATTAATGTATATATTGATCACTACAACGATTCAGTGCTTGACTGGATAGAGGAAGAAAAGGAAGAAATAGGTGTTGATAGTGAAAGCTCTGATGAAGATAAAGACTCGGTCATGTCTGATGCTCTATCTGTTGATCATGAACCCGATGAAGAGGTAATACCATTGACTAAATCTGATGATCCCTTTCATAACTATATTAGTGTTGTCCCTAGAGATGATTTTGTTGATGAGGATGATGATTCAGATAATGGAACCAAAGAAGCCCTAATTTATCCTTTTCATGACTCAACTCAGAAATGGGATACAGTGCAACCCATCCTTGGTATGAGGTTTTGTAACCCTCAAGAACTTAAACAGCTTGTCTCAAACTATGCAGTAGCAAACGGTTTTAACCTTTGGTATGAAAAAAATGATAAAACTAGGTTGCTAGTCAGGTGTTGTAAAACTAGTGAAGGAAAGGCAGCATGTCCTTTTAGACTATGGGCTACTTGGATGAGCAGTGAAAAGTCATTCCAAATTAAGTCCTTAATTAATGAGCATAACTATGCTAGAACCTTCAAGTTCGGGTCAGTTGTTACTTACTCATGGATAGGGAAACATTTTGTTAATGATATTTTAGAAAATCCCAAAATGAGTTGCAGGGAAATGAGGGATAAAGTTGGGGAAAATTTCAATGTGAAGGTTAGTGTTGGACAATGCAGGAATGCAAAGAAGTTTGCACTTAATGAGATCGAAGGCAGTTTGAACACACATTATGAAAAATTAAGGAGTTATGGAGCTGAGATATTAAGAGCTAATCCAGGGTCAACAGTGAAAATTGGGACGGATACAATGCCTGATTCCACAATTTATTTTTCTAGGATGTATGTTTGTATCAAAGGTGTAAAGGATGGTTGCATTAAAAATTGTGCTTTTATTTGTTATTACCCTTTAAATATAATCTACATCGTTCAATGTTGCTTGCAAAGTTGCTTTTACATAAGATTCTTTTTGACCATTATGCTCTTAGGATTCCTTCATTTTGACCATTATGCTCTTAGGATTCCTTCCTTTTGACCATTATGCCCTTTTGCACATTAAGGGGTAAAATTTTGCAAAGTTGTTTGTACAGGGGTAAAATTCTGCACATTATTACCCTAACAAGACAATGCATGAATGCTCATTCAATATTGCTTGTACTTAAGATTAAATCATATTCAAACTTAAGAATGTACATCAGTCAATTTAGCAACAACAAAACATGTTCATTCAATCATATTCAGCAAAACAACCATAATATCCGATTACAATTTGACATTTATGCCCTTAAAAGTGATACTACAAATAACATAAACAACACAATTACATATGTTTTGAGACTGCTAATTTTCCTAATTATCTTATCAAATTCTTCATCTGTCTTCTTTTTGTAAATATTGAAATCATGGTCCATAATTGCAATCCTCACTTCACAAGATTGTGCCCCCACTTCACAGGATTGTGCTCCTACTTCATCTCTTTTTTTCTTGTTGATTGTATCTTCTTCATTAACCCATTCCCAGAATTTCATTTAATTTCTGGGTTATCCTAAAACAATATATGAAAATTATTGAAAAGACCTTACTACATATAGATTAAACCCGACATACCATTGAATTAGGGCAAACCCTAAACTCTTCTCTAGGATTATCTTTGGTCGTTGAAGTCCAGATACGAGAAGGGTAGCCACAATCACAGGGATTTGCAAAATCAAGTTTCGATTTTGACTTGATTTTCTTCGATCTAGTGCTGGAGTTGTACGTAAAGGAGGAAGCCATGGATTTGAGAAAGCTGCTACAGTCTTGAAGAGTGAAGAAGAAATCGTGCTTTGAGAGTGTTTAATTGAGGGTGAGGGTGTTTAATTGAGAGAGGGGTGAGCCACGTATTTTCCACATATTTTTTTTTAAATAAAAAAAGTACCGGGATACCTATTGTATCCGGTTACCAATGGTAAAATATGTACAGGAAACACATTTTAATGGTATTTTTTGTTAAAAAAAATCATGAATGGTATAATGTGAACACGGGTAAAACATCATTACCTTTACAAGTCATTTTCCCTCGTTCTTAATAACTAGTATATTAGTATTTTTTTTTTGTTCAAGATAATAAATTTTGTTTAGACTAATGAACAATTAAACATTTTCAAAATTAAAAAAGGAAAAAGTGTATGACTTTACGTCTTTACCTACAACACTAACAAAACAGTTTATTAACTTAGTTGTAGTTAATATTAATTGCAATTCTAGTTTTAAGATAAAATGACCATTCTAGCAACTATACCTAATAGTTTACCATAAAATAGCATAAAATTTTCGTTATCACTCAAAACAACCACACATTTTGTCTTGAGAATTTTCATGAAATAACATTTTTTTTGGGGGGGGGGGTGGTGTTTTAACGAATTAACCACAAAAATGTAAGATTTGTTAAATGACCACGAGATCCACAGAGGGGCCTCTACGAATCGACTAATGTCTTTGCAGAAAGAGGAATACTCTGAGAAAATACCCCTTTCCTTACTTCCTTCGCTGTGAAAATAGACGTTCCTTTTGGGGAGTTTGCTGCGGAAGACGAAGGATTGAGGACTTCGACTGTTGCAACGCCAGAGCAAGGATCGAAAAAAAAAATGGAAAGGCGATTCCGGAAAGTGCAAGAATTACACGATGATGTCTTATCCGATGGGTATGGAACCTATGTGAATGTTATCCTTGTTTTGAAATTGTATGAAACCCTAATTAGCATTAGTAACGTTGATTTTTGATGTAAAAATGTGTTATTTCTGTAAGGTGTATGTTAGTGAAATAGACCACAAAAATCTGGATTATGTCATTGTTACCCGAAGAACAATTCATTAGAAGACCATTATGAAGAACAGATCCGCAGAGGACCTTTCTGCAGATTGCAGAGGCCTCTGTGGAATTATTACTATTATTTTTGACGATTCTGAATATGTTGTAAATATGATTGGGATTTTGATAATAAACAATGTTTGTAAATGTGATTAGGATTGAGTAAATGTGATTACAAATTTTTTATAACTATTTAAAATAACAATACACTTTAATAAATTTATGTTAATTAACTTAGGGTTGGTAGAATCATTTGCATTTTCTTCATTTAGCAATAGATTGATAACCAAGATAAGTACAACTTTGTCAACAAGTTAGTTTTTGCAAGTATGATGTTATAACTTGTTATATTTTCCAAGTACATTGTTTTGAATAAATAAAAGTACAATGTGTTAACAAGTCAGTTTTTGAAAGTATGATGTTATAACTTGTTATATTTTCCAAGTACATTGTTTTGAATAAATATAAGTATAATGTCTTAACAAGAGGGACAATTTCTGTAACACAATTTAAAACATATATTTCATCAATTAGCAAACCACAATGCTATTTTAACTATACCGTTTAAAGAAATTTATGTTATATAGGTTAGGTTAGGTTTAGAATAACAATGTACTTTGATAAATGATGAAATTTATTGTGTTACACAAATTGTCCCTCTTGCATAGTACATTGCTATATCGTTTAAAAGAATTTGTAGTATTGATGTAATAATTTGCCATATATATATATATATATATATATATATATATATATGTATGTTATCTTTTACAGCATAGTACGCGAGGATGGCCTCCTGAATTAACTTTTAAAGGGGTGGTGGGCACTATGTTGAGGAAATGCATTCCAAAACTAAATAGTAGGCGACTCGAAATATTTCGAGAGACACCCTTTGGGATCTTCATTAGTATGCCCACCCCGTATGGTGACCCGATGCTCTGTTATTTGATGATGTTGCATGAGGTTCATGATGTGCTGGTAGCCAGGGCTGGAAGGTTTTGGTTCGAGTTACAAGGCATGGTAGTGGAATATGGTGAAACCGAATTTTGTTTGATTAGCGGTTTGAGATTTGGACCTTATGTTGATGTAATCAATAAAAAACACAAAACAAAACCAGGGCTGGGAGGTTTCTTTGCGGGTCCCCGTCATCAATCCCATAGCAAATTCTCTAGCATGCCATGCTTGTGAATAATTCAAATTAATTTCCAGCAACACATTCATATCTTTAATAATATCTTTAGGCCTATAAACTCTCAAACTACCTTGACCCATAATGTCATGGATTATGGTTCCCACAACTTCACTAGTTGCTTGCCTATGATTTGGGTGTATAAGTAATGAAGAACATGTATGCTCCTCATTATAAGTCTTAATTTCAAACATTTTAGTTCCTTTAATGACAGCTGCATATAAACGCCAATGACAGTTTTCTTGAAAATAAACAACCTCATATTGAGATTTGCTTGATTTTTGAACATTAATCTGAAACTTTTCTTTAACCGCTTTGAATTTAACAGAAGTTGTTAGGCCTTTTTTGGTGTTATAGGTTTGATTCACAAATATTTTATCATTCGGACCTAAACTGTGAAATGGTCCATGTTCAAGAATAGGTTTTGGACAATTAGGAATAGGAGGAATACAATACTAGGGATTAAAAGCAATTTACCGTTGCGTGTACTCATCTTTCGACCAACCTTCATTTGATTTTCTTAAGATAATTGATCATCAAAATTAGGTACTTCTTGAAACTTAAATAAATTTTGTTGTTCTAATTATGTCATGCGCATATTTGGTTCATTATCATTATCTGATAAAAAGTTGTCGTTATCTGATACAAACTTATCACCAACTGAAGCTTTCTTTTCATAACCCACTCCCATGTTATTTCCTCATCCCTTGGACCGGTTTTCACCAGATTGTCTATCTCCATGACCTCTAGTACCTTTTGCTCCAATAAACTAGCTTTTCACCTCTAGTTGTTCTTCAACTTCTTCATCTACCATCAATAAATACAAATTCACTTTCTGCTTTGTTTCAGACATTACATATTTCAGATGATCTACATCTGATTTACTGCAAGCTCCATGATATACCTACACTCAGGGTGTTTAAAAGACAAAGATATATGACTAGTGAACACACCGATCTTATTTCTAACCATTTGTAATAACATCTGATGGTCAAAGTTAGGAGGGAGATTTAAACCATAGTTTTTCACATTATTATTGGATTAGGTGTCTAAGCCCATAACTATATTTGGTATGTACTAGACCCGATTGTAGCATGGTTCTTTTGGGTTGCCTTCACCAAAGCAACTTGACTGGATGAATAATGGAGAAAGAGGATAAAAGTGATTTATTAATATATTATGTGAATAATATATTCACAGAGAAATCATATTATTTAATTAACATTGGTCATGAATTAATTTAGAATTAGTTTTGTGGTTAAAAGAGGTTAATTAAATTAAGGGGACTGATATTGTAATTATAAGATAACTGCATAGTGGGCTGAGACCTCTTGGAAAGGGGTCGACGAAATCTTTTGGAAGCCCATAAGGATTTCGTCTAAGGGCCAGGGTTCTGGAAGATTCCTATGGGCTTCTTAGAGCCTAAGCAGCCGGATTAGGTCTTTGACTAAAACCCTAATTCCTCACCTATATATTGACCCCCCTGGCTTCATATTTTCAGCTACCACAACCCTAGAAGGATTCCAAGAGCCAAAAATAGCCTTCCCTCCCCTCTCTCTAATATTTTCCAATTGCTTTGGCATTTGTGATCTATTAGAGGCATTGTATTTGAGGTGCTCGGTTCTCAAAAGCTCAAGGTTATCAACCTACAGTCAAAGGTAACATTCTAACTTGTTTATTAAATGTGTTTTTTGATTTTTGTATGCTAGCCACAGGGTTTACAAGCTTTGGATGATTATTGCATGTACAATTAGAAAAACCTAGATCCAAAGCTTTAGAGTTTGCATGTGCACCATATGATTGATGTTTTGCTCATAACCCAACAGTGGTATCAGACCCTAGGTCGTTTTTCTTTTGTCTTTGATGCATAGCTAAATTATTCAAAGCTGGAAAAATAAAAAAACCTGCTTTTGACTAATGAACTCGTTGAGTCACCTGATGAACTCGACGAGTCAGGGCTACTCAATGAGTCCAGTCTGTGACTCGGTGAGTCGGCTCGTCTGTTAGCATATTTTTCGGGATTTTAACTAGAATTGGGCTGGGATAATTACCACAAACATTTTTTACTGATAAAATATGATTTTTTTTCAATATTATGTTGATTATCCTCATCCAATTAGAAGATAATTGTTAAATAATTAGATAATCACTTGTTTATATGATAAAATAGATTATTTGTATTAATATGAATTATCTTGCCATAAATTGAATTAGGTCAAATTTAGATAATCACTAATTATTTGATTAATTAAATTATTTGAAAGTTGATCTAGAAGGTTTTGAAAAGTTTTAAAACTTGCCCTCAAGTTTTGGAATTAAAATTTTTGATTGATAGTGTTAATTTTGAAATATTTAAATTCTAAACCCTAGAATTTTATAAGTTTAAAATTCAACCATTATACTATTATAATATTATAAGATTAATAATTATATATATGTATAAGATAAGTTAGTCTTACTGTTAGTAGGTCTCATTCACTAAGCCAATCTATAAGCGGGTATAAGGAAACTGCCTATAAAATAGCGGTTGAATGGGTGTCCACTCTCACCCACCGCTTCCTTGATTGGTGGAGGGTTGTTATCTGAAGGGGTAGGATAGGGTAACTAATTCCTCATTAATAATTATGATGATCAATAGAGTACCTAAATGTTTTTATAAATTCCCAATCTTAGTTACTTTAGGAAAAATGTGAAAATGATGCTATTCTATGAAATTACACTTTGCACCTTGCCAAGTTGTTAATAGAGCGTGCGTGGATAACCGACACACTAATTTGGGACTAACAAGGGT